TCTGCCCATTTGTCCGAGGATGGTAAGCACTGCTAAAATCAAGCCTAGTATTGACCAACTTCCATAAACTGCGCCAAAAGTAATTGAGGAAATTGGTATCACCATATGAGACAATAGACTTAGACAGCCTACGAAGACGGTAAATTTCACGAAAGAACAACTGCGCAACATTGACGGCACTAGTCTTCTTCTTGCACAGAATAAAATGCGCCATTTTTGAAAAATGATCCACCACGACAAAAATAGAATTATTACCTTTCTGTGCATGAGGCAGCCCCAAGACAAAATTCATGCTAATATCTATCCAAGGTTGAGTAGGAATGGGCAAAGGCATGTACAATCTAGCGTTTGTAGCCTTTCCTTTAGACACCTGACAGATTCGACACCGTTCCACAAACCTGCCGACCTCCTTTCAAATGGACGGCCAATAGTACGATGCTGCTACCAACTGTAACGTACGATCACGTCCCACATGACCTTCTCCATGTAATTCCTTGATAATCTGGGTGCTTAAACTGCAATCCGGAACACATAATTCGTTTCCTTTAAAAAGAAACCCATCATGCAACAAGAAATATGACTGTTCCCCGCTTGCACACTCGCCATGATAGAAGAAAAAAAAGGATCAGTACTAAATAAATCTTTGAAACAGTCAAAACCCGGTACCTCCACAGACAATGTGGTCAGCATGCTTAGCCGACGACTCAACGCATCAACAACGCGATTTGTCACCCCAGATTTGTGTTTGATGACAAAAGTGAATTGCTGTACGTAGGCAACCCAAGATGCATGTCGAGCAGTCATCTTATCATGACTATGGAGATGTTTGAGAGCGTCATGATACGTGAACAAAATAAATTCTCACCGGAAAAGATAGTGACGCCAATGTTTCAGTGCTGGGACAACTACATAAAACTCCACGTCATAAGTATTGTATCCCGTCCGTGACCCAGATAACTTTTCACTGAAAAATGCTACGGGCCGATTATTCTGACACAAAACAGCTCCAATGCTGACTTTGGAAGCATCACAGTGTAACTCAAAGGGCTGAAAAAAATCAAGAAGCACCAAAATAAGGACGGTTGTCAACTTAAGCTTGATGAGCTGGAAACCTTTGTCTGGTTCTTTTGTCCACCTAAAAGCACCGCGTTTTATACAATCTGTGACTGGGCCCATAATGCTACTGAAGTGAGGAATGAAATGCCGATAAAAAGACGCCAAACCATAAAAACTGCGTACTTCAGTGAGGCTAACTCTTCACCTTGGAATTATCAACAGAAAGACCATCCTTTGAGATGACAGAGCCCAGAAAAAGGACTGAAGTGGGACATTTCAAATGGAAAATTGTTGAGTGAAAAAGTCATCGTAAATAAAAATTTGAAGATGACATTTAATTTATAAATTTAGAATTATAATTTAAAATTATTTTCGTTTTATATGTGTTTTTTATGAAAGAAAAATACTGTAGAGAATCATGAATCATAATTTAGAATTATAGACGAATATAGAAAATAAATATTCTCAAAAATTTTACTAAGAGATTGGGGTTACTATTTTAGAATTTTTTTTCCTTGTTTCTTGATATATATATATATATATTTGGTTGCAAACTCAGTCTTTGAACGCCTTTCATTGGTCCTTCAAGAAGTCCTTTCTCACGTGATAGAATTCCATGAGAAATTGGGTTGGACCGAGCCGAACCGTCTGAGTATATGGACAGTCCAACCCTTGCCCGTTTGACACGGCCCAACCCAAATTGCCAGCTCTGACTTGACAATCCACTTTGTCACTGATGTGCCACTTTTCCAACAAGACATCAGTTTCCTCAGAGTGGCAGCTACCGTCAAAAGGGTTCTGGTCTCCAAACATTTTTTGGGGCGTGTACTTAAACATAGAAATCTTGATGTGATCTTACATTGGAACATCATTATTCCACCATCAACAATAAATACCTATCAACTTTGATACGGAGATGAAAAGATAAATAAGACATGGAATAAGTATGGATTACTCTTTCTATTATACATATTTCTTTAGAATCTGTAATTACGACAGCCGCAACAAATTAACAGGATTTTGAAGAAAGGGAAAAAAAATCTATAATGAAAATTTACCAACTTAATGGTACATGAACCAAGAACGATAACTAAGGCCCGTTTAGTTCGTTGATTCGAGTTTTTAATTTGAGTTGAGATGTGATTTTATGTGAGAACTTTTTACTGTAGTAAAAAAGTTAGATGTGATTGTTTATGAGAATTTTTTACTGTAACAAAATTCGAATTCTAAACTCGAATCAGCGAAACTAACAGGGCCTAAGCAAGCCAAATAAAAACCCCAATAAGGCTCACTCGCTCTCTCTCTGATTTTAAAAAAAGAAACCAATAAGCTCAAGCCCAAAAGCTTTTGAGATGGAGTCAATCCCTAGCAAAACTTTATATTCTTGAGAGCATTCTTTTATGATATGTTGACACAATTGGTTGGGCTTCAGTTTGATCGATGTGCGCAACTTCATCTGCAATACCAGCAAATTAGAGAGTAAATTTGGAAGCATCTAAATTTTAGGGACCAAAACAATACGAAAAATAAAAATTAATTTCCATAGATAGTCTCTAAATTTTAACTGTTTTCACAGATATATTAGAAAAAAAATTGGCTAAGAAGAACAATGTAAATAAAGCTAAAAGACATTTAGATGTAAATGAAGATCTAGTAAACAAAAACCCCATTGAGAAGCGTAAACTCCAAGCAGTGACGTCAATCGCCAAGATACTTACGCTTCTTGGCTGTATTCATATACGGTCGAATCACCCCATTCAATTTGTGCTTCACGTTGATCCACCGTCCCTAACTTTATCTGCAGTACAAAAAAGAAAATGAAACGTCAATAAATTATGCAAACATGAGACTTAAATCTACTCAACAATAAATATGAATGATCAAAATACTACGCAAGAAACCGCAGACTATTATGAGAAGAAAGGTTAAAAAGATTCAAACATGTAACAGCGTCTCCAACAGACCCATTCAAAAGATTAATAATTATGGGCTTATTCTTTTGAGTGAAAAACTCAAAAAAAAGTAACTCGAATTATAACTTTATTCGAGTTTATGTTCTTTTAAGTTTAAACTCGAGTTTAAACTCGAGTTCAAACTCGAGTTTAAGACTAACTCGAGTTTAAGTTTTTCCTTTAACTCGAGTTCAGAAACTCAAACTCAAATTAATGAACAATATTTTTTCTATTCTTAAAAATGCTATAACTTTTTCGTTTTAATTCTGATTGAGATGGTTTTTTTTTTCTATACGTTGACAACGAAAAGATGAATAAAACCCGACTCATATACCCTATTAAAATTTTTCATCAACATTGAGTTTTTATTAAAATACTATCTAAATACAAATTCAAGTTTTGATTCACTCAAACACAAACTAAAAAAGATTCTTATCTCAAACCATAACTCAAATGTATACAACTAAACACAAACTCAAGTTATAAGTTCAACTCAAATTATAACTCAAATTCAACTCAAGAATTATACTTAAATTAAACTCTAAAAGAACAAGCCATATATGTTCTTCATTCAAATCCTACAATGCATATGGCACTTTAATAAGAAAATTATTTTTTTAACAAGCCTTTCTGTGTATATACTCGGAGCAATATTATAACAAAAAAATAAAAATAAAAAGTTATTTTTTTTGGACCGAGTTGATATAGAAATTATTATTGCATTTTCAATTAGACCATAGGAAGAAACAAAAAACATTGACCTTTCATCAAATGTCGTGTTGGCTGCAGAATTCACAGTAACAACTTCTTTTGCAGTTGTTTCGGCTAGGTTGTCATCGAGTCCAAGATCCAAACGTACTTTATGTAATTGTTTGGATTAATTTTATAAATTCTCTCTTAACTGGTATCTTATTTCAACATGTCCCAAAAAAAAATTGAAATGCCTCCTGAGCTAATACTTTTTCATAAATATTCACTAAACAAGTTAGTCTGGAACCCCCCACTTTTGACTCAGGCTTTAATCCGCAGGACGGGTTGGGCTGATACTTTAGGCCCAAAACTATTTTCATGCCAGTTTTGATTAGCCCAAAGTGCTTTGATTTTATTGTTATTTTTTTTTAAATTATCCTTATAAAAGTTTAGCCTGGCCCTAGGCCGATTATCCCTCTCTGGTCAAGCTGGACCAGGTGGTCTAAACTTTCAGCTCTGTTTATATGTCAATTTATCCTTCAATTAAGAAAATCAAGAAATAAGTTATGTAAAAGCAATAACTCAGAGGACAAAATAAATTGATTTAAAATTAATAATATGGGGATATTTATAAATGAATAAATAGTGTCACGTTATCAATTTATTAATTTTATAAATATATGAATATATTTTACACTAAAATACATAATTCAAAAAATAGAATGAACCATTTTAAAAATAGGAGAATGAAGTACATATAGATTTCAAAATTATTTGAAATAAACAGTAGTTTTCTTTGTAAATGTTTCATTTATAACTTGAAAAAAAAATTGTCACATAAAATTTTCTTTTTATGATTGGTAAAAAAATCCACATAAATAAAGAATCTTTTACCACATAAATTATTTTTTACTAATTATAAATGAATCATTTATACAATAAATTATTATTTATTTCAAATAGTTTTAAAAGTTACTATTTATGTGAGTAATGTTTGATAAGATGAATGGAGAATATGAATGATACAAAGAGTTAGATAGATGAGGAATATGAAGAATGAAGATGATTATGATAATTTTTTTATATTATTTAGTATTAAAAAAAGAGAATTAAAATGATGAATGATTGTTGGTTGTTTAATTATTTATATTTGATAATAATTTTTTTGGAAGATAAAATAGACTTTTAATTAAAAATTTAAGGAATTGACGAATCCTTCCATTAAGGAAAAGGATTGCCCAATGAAAGAAAGAACCTCTTCGTCCATCTCTCTCCTCTCCTCTCCTCTCGTCTATCCAACCAATGAAATTGTGATTTCCTTCCACCTCTCTTCTTTCATCCGTCTCCCTCCTTTTATCTATCCCTTCCCTTGTACCATCTGTTATGTGCTACAATTTTCTTTCAAAAAAAAATTAGTGAGCACGTTAAAATCGGGTACAAAGTTAAATGAGTATGTTTTTTTCCTTAGAAACCAGAAATTGAGAAAGAATGTCATGAAATCTCCGAAAACAACAATGGCGAAGAGAAGCCACACGACCGAATTGGGGTGCATAGCGTGCGAAGAGCTCAGCGAATTGGGCACCGGCAAGGAAGGCTGGCTCGTCGACAACCCAAACCTTCTCTGCGCCCTCGACACCCACTCCCTCGCCCTCGCCAACCGATCCCTCATTCTCACTCTCTCCTGGTCCCACTCTGATTCCGATTCTTCCCGGGTCAAGATCCGACCCGATTTGTCCCCCATCGAGGCCGAGTTCATCTCCGCCGTCGAATGGCTGGTCTTCGATGACATTCGGGCGATCGCCGTCGGCACCTCTTGTGGGTATCTCCTGATTTACTCTTTGGCCGGGGAGTTGATTCATAAGCAGGTTGGGTTTAATTGTTCTTGATCCTTTTCTTTTATTGGATTGGAAGATAGAGGATAATTGGAAAATGTGTTTTTTAATGGTGTTTTCGCTTTTGAATTTCTGTGTAGAAAGCTTTTAAGGTTTGTTTGCCCGTGGAAAATGTGCAACAATTTTCTGATTGACGCGTTCCTGATTCTGATTTTCTTGCAATTTCTTACGTACCATGTAGATGTTACTAGTATCCATAATTTTCCTTCCATTCGCCTTTCTTCTGTGAAGTGTGTATGGCATTGTGATAGTCATTGTTTGGATTGATTGGTTATAGAACTTATGGTTCAAAATTCAATTACACACACACACACACACACACACACATATATATGTATCTGTGTGTGTGAATTACATATTTTTTTCTATATCCGCAAATTTGGCAGTGATAGTAATGCTTTGGATTGATTGATTATTGAACTTAGGGAACTTGTGCACATTTGAACTTATAGTTTAGCGTTATTACAGTTTATATATCCTGGACGGGTTTTAAAGTTGAGAGTTCGTGGAACAAAGAGAGATTTGATCGAAGAAACATCCTCAGAGGAGGTTTGTGTTGTTATGCCAGGTGTAATTGCTCGTTTCTATGGCTCTGAAATTCAGGTTTGTTAATCATTCGAAGTGACTAGCGAGTTTACTTTGACGTGTCATCTTTTTACAGAAATCCATTGTCTTATTTTATTGCTTATAATGCTTATACTTGAGGTTTTTTGCGTTATGTTTACTTTCAGAAGTTGACCTTTCATTATAAATAGAATTTTTAAATGATACTAAATCTGATACTATCATGATCTGATTTGAATGTTTAACATGTAGAGTATGCTGCAACAATGGTACCATGATTCAAGTTCTCGATTTTGGGATAAAAGACCTAGAAAGCAAGAATCTGATGATTTTGGAAATCCTTATGGGAGATTGTCCTTCCAGCTGTGGAACGTCAGCAAATCTGGCACTTGTGCTGATGCCGCAATTAGTGGAATGATGCCTCCACCACTGATGGAGCTTCAGGTACCGCAGTAGGCTGTTTGATTTTGTTGATTTGTGAATGCTCTCTTCAGAGGCATATTAGCGGACAAAGATTTGTTCTATGTATCTCTTAAACACATATGTTGGTGGACCAAGATTATGCTTTTAGTCTCTTTAAAAGCATATGTTGGTGGACTAAGATAATGTTAGTCAAATATTGGCAATAGTTTATTGACTTTTCCTTCCATTAGATGTTAATCATTCATCATTCCCAGCGTTGTCATGTTGGTTGGCTACTTTGTGGTTCTTCACAGCAATGCTTCTGAACTCTTTTTTCCCCTCAAGTGATGGAAGTATTCTGGTTTTGAATTCAGCTACTTTTATTCTTGGGCAGTCAAGTCAGCGCTATTACTGTGCAATCACTGTCGGAGAGAATGCTGTGATCTCAGCCTTCAGGTTGGTATGCTGGGATTTTGCACTGCTATAGTCGCAAATAGTATTGCCACCCTTTCCAGCCAAAATTGCTTTCTTTGTTATTTTGTTTCTCCTACAGGTATGTTGACTAGATTCTACTTCTTTCTAATGTAGGCTGTCAGAGGACAAAAGTAGGTCTTTAGTGGGAGCTATCATATCTAAAGTTGTTCCTGCAGCATTTTCAACAATAGCTTCCTTTTCTAAAATGATTTGGCGGAGTGAACAAAATTCACCGAGAAAATCAAATATAAAGCCTCAAGCTTTTGCTCGAGGTAAAAATTGTCATTATTATGTTTTATTGGTCCTCGTCTAAACGGTCAGAACCTTGGATTTAGAGGGAAGTAATCAAATCATACAGCACCACGTTTTTCAGTGTTTACAGATTCAGCAACTGTTTTTTTTTTTAATAAAAGAAAAAGATTTATTAAGAAGAAAGAAAGGAAATGCAATGTGCAGTAGTTTTTAACATATCTGTATGTGCACGTTGAATAGTGGAAGTAGCTGCATGATTATGGGAAACAATTTTAAGGATTAACAACTTTCCTGCAGTTTGATTCCCCATCTTCAACACGGGACTCCATTTTTTCCTTTTCTTCTTTCCATTTTTAATTTTCTTTGGCAATTCAACTTGTTCTACTGAAATCAATTGATAGAAAGTTTCTGAATTTTTGGAACATGTTCTTCGACTCTTAAGTGCAGAATAATAGTAGGAAACAGATAATCAGCAACTAGATCCGTTCTTAGGTGAAAATGATATCATATAGTAATCACTTGTTTATTATCAATTTAGATTTAGTAAATGTCGCTTTGTGTTGGATATTATAATGTTGTACTTACAAGCTATTTTCAACTGTGTGAAAATCTTCTTGCATGACTTGCGTCATGAATTTTACAGCTTCTCCGTTGACATCTTTGAAGGATTATCCAAGAAAAGGTGAGAAGCTCACCTTATCGCCTAGTGGCACATTGGCAGCAATTACAGACTCACTTGGTCGTATATTGCTATTAGACACTCAGGCACTTGTTGTAGTGCGATTATGGAAGGTTTCCCCCAAACATCTTTTGACATTATTTTTCTTTTTTAAAACCTGTCCCCTTCCTCTTCTCCATCTTGTCTGGTGGGTATTAAAACTTGTTCTGTAGGGATATCGTGACGCTAGCTGTCTATTCATGGAGATGCTTGTCAATCGAGATACTGCCGCTTCTAGTTCCAATTACTATGAACCTGTGAAGAGTGATTACTGCTTGTGTTTGGCTATTCATGCCCCCCGAAAAGGCATCATTGAGGTACACTCTCTATTATTTTCCTTTTTCCAGAAGGATTGTTCCTTTTCCAACACTCAATTTATCTGAGACTCCAAGTTTTTCAATTAAAATTTTCACTTGTATTGTTGACAAAGACTAGATCTCAATTCACTATTCTTCTGATTTTAAAAGGCGTGTAAATCAAACCTGCCCAACCCATCAACCCAACCCAACCCAAAAATGACAAACCAACAAAGAAAAGTATATATTATGGATTATAAATACTTCAAACCGAAGCAATGGGTTGGGTTTTGGGTTGAGGATATCTCAACTCATACAACTCAACCCAACCCAAACTTCATATATACTTAAAATAATGTATAATATATTTGATATATCGAAAGCATAAAGGAAAAGGCTCCTTTGTTAACTTATCTTAGTATATGTTTCTCAGAGCTTATAGTAGTATAAATTATTTTTATAATGTATAATATATTTGATATATCGAAAGCATAAAGGAAAAGGCTCCTTTGTTAACTTATCTTAGTATATGTTTCTCAGAGCTTATAGTAGTATAAATTATTTTTATAATGTATAATATATTTGATATATCGAAAGCATAAAGGAAAAGGCTCCTTTGTTAACTTATCTTAGTATATGTTTCTCAGAGCTTATAGTAGTATAAATTATTTTATAAATGCTCAATTGAATAAAACAAGAAACACCACTTCTTTATGAGCAAATTAAAATTTAAAACTCTACTTGTTATCAATTGAAAACTAAAAAAATAAAGATAATTATTCATAATGGAAAGGTACAGAGAAGCCAAGACGGACCTACATATGGTCTTTATAGATTTAGAAAAGGCATATGATAGGGTAACGATGGAAGTTTTATGGTGGGTGCTAGAAAAGAGAGGAGTGCATGGGAGGTATATCAAGGTAATTAAGGATATGTACAATGGGGTGGTCACGAGTGTGAGAACTGCTGGAGGCGACACGGCAGAGTTCTCCATTCGGATCGGCCTTCATCAAGGATCTGCTCTTAGTCCTTATCTTTTCACCATTGTGATGGATGAACTGACAAGAGAAATCCAAGATAAAGTTCCTTGGTGTATGCTTTTTGCGGACGATATAGTTTTAGTTGATGAACATAGGGAAGGAGTTTAACCGTAAGTTAGAACTGTGGAGACAGATTCTCGAGATGAAGGGATTTAAGTTAAGTAGGATAAAAACTGAATACATGCATTGTAGGTTGAAAGCACAAATATTGCTTTCTGTTTTCTATATTGAATGAATAATCGGTACATTAGGGCTCCTAATTTATAATACAACTATGAAAATCAAATCTCCTAAAACTAAGGCCTAGAGATCAGGAAAGTGATTTGTTTAAATTAAAATCAAATTAGGAAACATTCTATCCTGAATCGGGAACCTTATCCCTAACAATAAATTCGGGATTTCAACACTCCCCCTCAAGTTGGATCATATATGTTAATCATTTCCAACTTGCTTAAGAAATCATTGAATTTTTGTCTTGCGAGCCCTTTGGTGAAGATGTCTGCAACCTGATTTTGAGTATTAACATAGGTCATGCAAATGATTCCCTTCTCCACCTTTTCTTTGATGAAGTGTCTGTCCACTTCCACATGCTTGGTTCGGTCATGTTAAATTGGATTGAGTGATATATTAATTGCCGCTTTGTTATCACAGTAGAGTTTAACCGGGAATTCTACTATAACTTGGAGTTCTTCTAGTAGTTTCCTCATCCATAGTGCTTCACATATTCCTTGGGCAACTGCTCTAAATTCCGCTTCGGCACTGCTCTGAGCCACCACATTTTATTTTTTGCTCCTCCAGGTTACTAAATTCCCCCATACAAAAGTACAGTATCCAGAAGTAAATTTCTTATCTTCAATTGAACCTGCCCAGTTTGCATTTGTATAGACTTCTATCCCTCTGCAGTCAGTCTTCTTGAAAAATAATCCTCTGCCAGGTGATCCTTTGAGATACCTAAGTATCTTGTATACTGCCTCCAAGTGAGCTTCCTTTGGCGAATGCATGTGTTGGCTAGCCACACTAACTGCAAATGCAATATCAGGTCTAGTATGAGACGAGTATATTAGCTTGCCTACTAGTCTCTAATATTTGTCTTTATCAACCAACTTCCCATCGTCTACGATCTTCTTCCCTGCTTCAATCGAGGTGTCACTTGGTTTGCATCCAAGCATACCTGTTTCTGTGAGAAGATCAAGAACATATTTCCTCTGGGAGACACTGATTCCTTTCTTTGACCTAGCAACTTCTATTCCCAAAAAATACCTCATTTGCCCCAAATCTTTCACTTCAAACTCCATAGCAAGAATACTCTTCAACCTCTCCATTTCTGCTATATTATCACTAGTAAGGATTATATCATCCACATAAACTATTAGGATCGCCCTCTTCCCATCTTTGGCTTGTTTGAAGAACATAGTATGATCTGATTGACCCTGTAAATATCCTTGATCCTTTATCACTTTTGCAAACCTGTCAAACCACACTCTTGGGGACTGCTTAAGGCCATAAAGTGATCTCTTGAGTTTACACACTCGCTCGTCTTCTTGCCCTTTGCTGAATCCTAGTGGCATGTCCATATAGACCTCTTCTTCTAATTCTCAGTTCAAGAACGCATTCTTGATGTCTAGTTGCTGAAGGGGCCAATCCAGATTAGATGCCAATGATAGAAGAACCCGAACCGTATTTAGCTTTGCCACGGGAGCGAATGCCTCAGTGTAGTCGATGCCATAAGTTTGTGTGAAGCCCTTGGCAACAAGTCGAGCTTTGTATCGTTCTACCGTTCCATCCGCTCTGTATTTGAGGGTAAATACCCACTTGCAACCCACTTTTTCTTCCCTCTCGGCAGCTCCATTACATCCCACGTCTCATTTTTCTTCAAAGCTCTCATTTCCTCCATGACACCATTTCTCCACTCCGGAATGGCTAGTGCCTCCTGCACATTCTTTGGAATTTCTGTATTGTTGAGATTAGAGACAAAGGCTCGGAAAACCGTAGATAAGTTTTTTTGTGACACAAACTTGGAGATGGGATGAAGTGTACATGATCGTGGCTTTTTCCTGTGAACTATGGGAACATCAGTATCAGGAATTTCAGGGGTATTAGAGATACCTTCTTCTGTGATGGTCTCGGTCATACCTGGATCTATCACCGGGTTGGATTCTCTTGGTGCTTCGGAAGTGAGGTGTCTTGATATTTTGACTTTGGCCTTCTTGAGTAGACAAGCAGCTCCCTGTTATTTTGCTTTCCCACATCTCCCCCTGAGTTCAAGTGTCCTTTTGTATATGGCATATTGGAATTAGAAGGAAAGGTGGTGGTGTTTTCAGTGTTTAGGATAGACTCAGAAGGAAGAAGTTCAAAGTCCACAAAACGATCTTTATTAGAGATCTCCCCCTGAAGAGAAGTTTTTTGGAAGAACGGAGTGCTTTCAAAGAAGGTAACATCAAGACTAACGAATACCCTTTTTATGGAGGGGTCAAAGCATTTGTAGCCCTTCTGTGTAGGGGAATAGCCAATGAGGACACACTTAGTAGCTCTAGGATACTTACTTCGATTATGAGAGTGGACGTGAATAAATGCGGTACAACCAAACACCTTGAGGGGTAAAGTTGAGGGTAGGCGTGAAGTGGGAAAGGCTTTCTTTAGAGTATTGAGTGGAGTTTCAAAGGATAGGACTTGACTAGGCATCCTATTGATAAGATAGGCAGATGTTAAGATAGCATCTCCCCAGAACATTTTAGGCATATGGGCAGTAAACATCAATGCTCGGGCAACCTCAAGCAAGTGTTTATTTTTCCGTTCGGCTACTCCATTTTGTTGGGGAGTGTCGACACAGGAACTTTGGTGAATTATTCCATTTGCCATTAGAAAATCCCCTAAGATAGTGTTAAAATACTCCGTCCCATTAT